TTTAATTGACAACATACAAGACAAAACCAATATAATTAGCAATTGTATCAACGCCAGATGGAACTTTACAATCTATCCTGCTTACTGCTCGTCTTTCGATTCCGGTAGTTGCAATTGTTTGATTTTCAATACGTTCTTTCGACGGCTGACGACGTGCAAGCTTCATCATTGTACTATACCTCAAGATTTCACTTAGGAGGTCATTTTTCTTTGTTGTAGACTTCTTTTTTCTTGTTCGTTGCATTCATATTGTTTTCATTGTCAAATGTAACTACGCTAGTGGAGGTATTTAAAGTTAATCGAAATATAAAAGAACGCTCACAATGAAAAAAAAAATAATTGGATGTATCAATGCTGTTATCACATAAAAAAATCAGTGTAAAATAAAAAATAGTAACAGAATTATATTGTAAGGACAACCAGCAACATAGAGAAAATTACGCACAACTCTTAAATCAAAGTGTTTGATCAACTAAAAATCAAGCGAAGAAAGAGCTATGGCGCTCGAGGGTTGCAAAAAGAAAAAAAGAAAGGAACCGACGAACGAAAACAGAACCGTAAACGTGGACGACAAGGTATATAGGCGGCGTGACGAGAGTTCAACATGGTGTAACGTTCGCGCGCGCCTGATGTAAAGTCGTGCGCGCGGCTATACGCACGTGCAGCCAAGCCATCTCGCTCAAAAATAGCCCAGGCGCAGGAGCGGAAAAATAAAAAAAAAAGAAGAAGACGGAGGACGATAAGCGTGGAGAGCGACAAGACGTCAAAAAGGCGTCAAGAAGGGCGAGGCCTCTGGCCCCCCTCAGGAAAATATTTTCTTTCTTTATGCCTTGCGTATTTTAATGGCTAGCGCGAGCTTTTTTTTTCAGGCTGACACGTGCACAAGCTGCCACTTGTGATTTACTTTGTCACTAATTAGAATCTTGTACGGGAGCGCGGATGGTGGCTTGCTGCACGCGGGAGTCAGCGATCAGGCTCATTGGAAATTTTAAGATTCAATATTAGCTTGCAGCTTTTCACATGACAATCTGCGGTTCTTGCGAGTTGTCCTTCATCAACTCGGATATGTAGCGTGAACAAGCCAGTTTCCAACTTATCCTCCGGCTGATGGACTGTGACACTTCGATATTAGTCTCGCGTTAATTTAGAAACAAGCTTATCACACGCATCGAGACGATTTAAAATCTACTGCTCGATCAAATTTGAAAATGAACAAGGAGCCGCCATGGCACACATCGATAACGCGTATCATTCGCGGCAATGAATCGTTGTCCGTCGTGTAGTCGAACATTTTGCTATCTCCCTCTTTCTCTGAATTGTCGAGGAAAAAATAGGTAAAACCAACAATTACGAAGCGCGGAGGAGCCAGCTGGAGCCGAAGCTAGAGCGCGCGTGCCTCTCGCGAGTCGCGAGGAGGAGAACAAACACAATGAAAGAAACGTGCAAGGGCAGCTGGAAGAAAGAGGAATGGAGAAGAAATATATAAAAGGCCGCGCAAACAGCGCAGTGCGCTAGACAGTCGTCCCTTGAAAATTGGCGCGAGATGAGGCTAACTAGCGTGACTAACGAGGCGCCGCCGCCGCCGCTAGTATTTTTGGCCGCCGCGCCAGTGCGAAGCGGCGCGCGCGATATTTCTCGAGGAGCCCAACCCCGTAGTCGTCGAGTGCTTCGTGCCCGCGCCCACTTGACGAGCCCGTCGATTCGTTACACTGCTCTCACTTGAAAACGAGCCCTCACTTTTCTCCTCTCCGACTCCTACAAATTATTACAATCGGAGAGGATTTCATAACGGATCTTACTGGCCGGCCTGGTTTGTTTTGTCATCCGTCGAGCCACTCGCAATCCGGCTCTTGATTAAAGCGAGCCTCGCCACGTCGCGCAGCAGCAACGATTGCTCGAAGGCGGCGGAGAAGGAGCAAGAGAGGAGCAGCGCGGCAGCGCTCGCGTGCGGCTTTCAATCCGGCGGCGTCATCGGTCACGGACGAAAAACCGAATCGATCATTGGACAATCCCATTATCCTGGTGCGCTCTCTCGGCCCCTTCGGTCCGCCGTCGCACGCACGAGTGCGGACTTGGCAGACGCGCACACGTATATACGCCGACTCGGGCGTTATATCCCTGGACTGACGGACTCTGCCTGAAAGACTGCCACGGCCGCGGTAGCGCCTTTAACAATTCTTGCCGAGTGAAATTATTCAATAAGCTATCGAAATTATTATTCCACTCGCATCGCGACGATCGATGTGACGCGCCAATGAAATATGCACCGGCTACGTCTGTGCGCGGGCCATCCCACCGTCCATTTTTATTCCGTCGTGCCTATAAATAATAAATACTCGGGGGCAATTTTCCAAGAGCTTATAGGCAAGCGATTTCGATGGCATCCGCGACAAAGAGAGAAGGAGAGAAAATCGCGATCGATGATGCCTCTATCAAGCTTGTCAATGACGATAAAATCTTGGCTGCAGCGCGTTGCGAAGAAACAGTTGACGCGACGGCCACGGGGCGACGGATTACAAAGTGCGCGAGGCTCGTTTGTAAAAAGAGGTCGTTTGGCGCACTCGCGAGAGCAGCTCTTTACGCGCGCGGTACGTCAGCGTTAGTTTGTCCTGCCTGCCTCTTTCTCTCCGAGCGGCATCATATCCGCGCTCGTACTCTTTGTGTCACGCAAAGCCGTATATTTTTAGAGTTATAAACGCGACAACTAAATCTCATCTCTCCTCTCGCTTGTTTTTTCGTGTGCCGCGTTGTACCGCGCGCCTCAGCCCGCAATCTCGTTTAAATTTAACGCGTTACTAATAACGCCATTTGGAATGCTCAGAATAGACCGTCGCAGTCGCCTGTCAAGAACTGCTAATCGGGCTCGAGCGACGTTGAGTCTGTTATTCGATCGTAAGTAGAATGGATTAATGCGAGTTCGACGATTCGACTTTGTCGTCACGCGCGTCAAGCAGGATAAATTTCACATCAACTTGCAGCTGTCGTTGCGAGGTGCCATTGCGCAAATCGCTTGTAGAAGTCCGCGTGGAATCGAGTCATCAATCCTGACCGAGCAGGCAGCATTGGGCAGCGAGAGATGAAATCAATGAAGGGCTCGACGTCGCCAAAAGTGCCTTGCGAAACTAATAACAGCGAGAAATGAGGGGAGGCAGGCTGTTAACAAGCTAACAATTAAAAGAAGATAAAAGGCCATTGGCTCGTAAATTTTCAAGTATCGTTAAAGTCGATGTAAAAGCTTGGGCCCCACCCCCCTCCCTCGCGCATATAGAGTGGAAAACGGGTTTCTGGCGCAGCGCGCGCGAGGTATCGCGTGTCCGCGCGCACAAAAGCCCATAAGAAATTAATTAGTCAAAATAAATCGTTGGCGAGCGAGCGGCGAGGCAGATAAATCAAGCGGGCAATTTGGCAGAGAGCGAGAGTCCATATTACAATGGCGGTACAATCAATTTATGCAAATGGCATGCTACGGCGCGGAGCGCGCGCGCCCACCGGCTTCGAAAAGAAAAACCAAGTATGTACGAGCGAGGCAATGATAATTAAGCAGACCTTCCGTGAGAGCTACACGGCAGCGATAAATTTGGCAGCCCGCGGGTGGCAGAGCGAAAGAGAGAGAAAGAACTACAGCGACGAAGCAGAAACTATGAAAAATTGGTGTCGTCACCTTGTCGCGAGGCGCGGCTAACGAGGCTCCGTCTCTCTTTTCTCGGCGATTTGATTTATCCGGCAGTCGGGGTGTCCGCCGGACGTCGGCCCGCTTGGCGCGCAATTATCCCGCGGGAGACGTTTTCATTTGCAAGTGCGCGCGGCCGCGCATATCGCCCACCTCGATCTCGGCTCGCTCGCTGCTCCGGCGCTGCTTCTTGTATTTACCTTCGCGTTATCTGCTCGCGTAGCCCAGACCCGAGGCTTCGGCGTAAGCTACCGCCGCGCGTCTTTTCGCGCGCGAATTCCGCTTCTCCGCTTTCTCGCAGCCTGCGCGCCCCTGCTGCTGAGTTTCCAGTGTCTCCGCGACATTTTCGCTGCTACCTCGTCGTTAGGACGCGCACGGGCAAAGCCTTAATTCGTGATTTAATTTGGATTGCGCGGCTCTACTTGCTGAATAAAAGATAGATCCGCTTGAAAAATATAAGGTAGCGCTCTTGGCTACCTGCCGTTAGCGCGGCGTAGCGACGTAAATTTGCGCGTCAACGTTTCGTAATATCGAGGCGGCAAGAAATGCCATTGGCCTGCGAGAAATGTTAATTTCCGAGAGAAAATGGGGAAAAAAGGGGAGAGGAGTCGTGAAATTCAATAACACAGCTCATCCAACTTTAATAAAGCTCGCCAAATGACTTTGTTAGTCGCGCAGGGAGCAGCGCGGCACTGCTCTCTCCGGCTGCAATACAACATTTGAGTTCCGAGCGCGGAGAGCTATTATACGAATCTTTGTCGAGAGAGGGAGAGAGAAGAGCGACCAAGTGAGTTTCCGCGTTGGCGCACGGCAGAATGTCTCCCCGAGGGCGAGGCTAATGATAGCGTTGCGCGACGACGACGACGATCGCGTATAACCCTTTCGCCCGGCTAATTGTGAATTGTATCTCGACGACTGCTGCACAGGTGCACTTTTCGCTGTGTCAATGACGGTTTCGTCTCTCGCCTCTTTCCCCGGGTTTCAGCTCCTAATAGACAATGTGACGACGACGCTTTCAACACTCGCCAGCTTTCTCTCTAAATTAGATCGCCACTCCAACGTTCGTCTCTCTCTCTCTCTCTCTCTCTCTCTCTCTCTCTCTCTCTCTCGCTTTTGTTAGCTGTAACGTTTTTTTTAATTTCATCGCACTCGCTGCCGTCTATCTGGACGTACGTGTGTCAGGACAATTTTTACGCCGCGCTTTTATTGCCTGCTGTTCCCGCTAAACTTTGTTCGGGATATAGAGATAAATAAGTCAGCTTTGTCTTTATTTGTCTTTTAGAAAAAGTTTATTCAACTGTTAACAACATAATTGATTTTCTTTTCCAGAATAAACTAGCTGGGTTTTGGCGAAATAATAACATATTTTAACGGCGAATGCATCGGGAATCGTAAATTACAAAAATTAGGAATCGCTTCATTAATCTGCGTTCCTTCAAATGTCGTTACAAGTTGTACTATAATTTGCTTTTCGATAGATACATTTAAAGTTTTGCTGTTGCTTTGTCTAAGTATCAATGACTTTTGAGAAAAGAATTTGCATACCTCACTAAGTACCGAAAAAGATGTTGTCTTGTGGAATCCGTTGTCGAGACTGTCCCGATATATATGAAATTTACCTGTATTATTTTACACCTCGAAAGGAAATTGCGTAGGGCGGAGTATTAAAACTTTGTTATTTTGTTATTCTTTTTACTAGCGTTTTCACTAAATTTGTTTAATACATTATTAATTTTTTTTTTTGATTTGTTTAAGGTTAGTGCTTATTATCGCAATTATTGTACTTGTCCAAAGTACTATACGAACTATATTTACGATGCATAGTACTTTTTTCATTTATACACCGAATCGTTTATAAAACAATTTGATTATTTAAAATATTTATACGAAGATAAATGTTATTATTACCTCTTGTTTGTTTGTTGTTTTTTATACAATTGCTTACATTCAAATAATACTACCTATTACTCTTACAGCTCTAAAATTAAATATTCGAAGATTCAAAAAATCCGATAAACGTCCCTTAAAAATTAATGTACAAATCACAATTACAATGTACGTAAATGCTCTTATTTTCTTTTTTAGTTATCGCAACTAACTTTACAAATATATAACGACGCGTTGCTACACATACATCATCGTTCTTTCGAAGAGCACTGAAAGACCAACGAGATATATCAACAAGAAACAACTATCGATATAGCCCCTAGGATTCATTATTGCTTTTTCCATCAGAAATTCATTAGATTCATCTCGATAATTTTCAGTGCATTTCCCATATATCGACACGATCATTGAGAGAGTACACAACTCACGAGCGAACACGCCTAACATCGCAACGTGCAAATCAAATTAAATAAATACAAATAAAAAGAGAGGAAAAAAAAGCAGGAGGGAAGAAGAGGGCGAGAGATATCGCGCAGGCTTGCTGCCCGATAAAATATCCCTCACGCAGACGCGTCAATGTAATTGGCCCTTTCCAACTGAGGGTACACCGCACATGCATCTCGTTACGCAATGCGCAGTCGAACAGAACCGACTGCGGGGCGTAAACTCTCTCTTTCGAACGATGAATAATTAATGGACGCAATAAGCATGAAAAGAAGCGAAATATTGCGAATTGATCAGGCGATAAAACGAAAAGAAAGAAAAAAAAAAGTATAACGTAATACGACGATCCATCGCGATCACAAGGTTATAAAGGGCGGGGCTGCACTGCACTGCACTAGACGAATACGACGTGTGGCTTTTGCGGTGGCAGCTGAGGTGGCGGCGGAGCCGTGGCTGGCTGCGGCGGTTGCTGATACTCGTACTCGTAGTCGTAGTCATAAGCCGCGGCGGGCCTGTGATGATTGCGATGCTGCTGCTGCTGCTGCTGCTGCTGCTGCTGCTGTCGGCGCTCGCTGCTGCGATGAGACGTCCGGTAAACCGGCGGCTCGTCGACCCTCAGGTTCGTTACGTCGGCCACCGCATAAACGCCCTCTTGCTGAAGTAAGCCGCCGCCGCCGCCGCCGCCGCCGCCGCCCATCAGCAAGTCGTTTGCCGTCAAGTAGCCTGGCTGTTGTAGCTGCAGCTGACTGGACGGAGGTGTCGCCGGACACTGCTGCTGTTGGTGTTGCTGCTGCTGCTGCTGGTAAAACGACGAGTTGAAGCTCTGAGCGTCGACGTCCCGTCTACTGCCGTTGGGCCGTGAGTACCGAGGCGTCTCGTAAACGTTCGTCTCACGGGATTCCGGCGACTCGCTGCCTGATTTTTGACGAGAGTGCTGGTACTCTGCTGACAATTTGTACAAATTGCAATGTGTTACAATTATTCAACTGATGTTGATGATTTTAAGAGACTCTGATTTTCTCTAGCTATGGAAAATCATGTCTTATAAGTTTTAAACGATATTAAAATGCATAGATGATTCGATTTTATGAATATTTCCAAATAAATCTCGCATCCTGCTCTTCATATTTAAGAAAACCATACGGAAGAGTCACACGATATTTCGCTGAGAAATTTCAAAGGAAAATAAAATATTATAGGACTGCATTGTTTCGACGAATGAAAAGACGAGAAAAGTGGTGAATACCTTGGTTAGCAGGGTCGTAAACCAGATCCTCAGTTCGGGCGATGAGCCTGCGACTGTAGGACTCGTGATGCTTGTCGGGCAGTTCGTCGCCAGGCCTGCCGACGTAGACAAGCAGTTCGGGCCTGGTGGGCGCGGCGTAAGAGGGTACCCGCTTCCTCCTCTTGAGCCTGGTGATGTGGGCGACTAGAGCGAGGATAGCAGCGGTGGCGGCGAGACAGCCAGCCGCCGACAGCGAGAGGTAGAGCGGACTCAGTCGGCACCTGAGCGAGCCTTCGGGCAAGTTGGCGAGCAGTTTGCCGGCGAACTCCTCGTCGCGGCAAACGATCTCCTGGCTGTCGATCTCGAGCGTGCCGTTGCCACGCAGCACGTTCCAGAGCCAGTGCACCGAGCAGTTGCACACGAGGGGATTGCCACCCACCCTCAGCGCGGCTAGGCCGTCCACCGGGAACTGCGTGGGCTGCAGCGAGGCCAGACTGCAGCGGCGTAGCGACACCCACCTGCAACACACGCACGCGTTGCCTTGTTTACTCTTGGTCTGCGCTGTCTAGTCGCCGGATACGTTTCTATTTGCGCGCCGCGAGCTTTGGCATTTTTAATGAGAGAGACTGACTAGTGGAATCGCGTGCGGGACTGCCCGCAGTGTTTCGATAATTGAAAGTGAGCCGTTTGAGCTCTCTCTCCTCTGTTCTTCGTTTTTTATTTTCGTTCGCGTCAGACGCGCTGCGCTTTAACGAACGTCCATTTTATGGGCTCTGCTGATTGATTTATTGGACGCGCGCGCTTTTAAATGTTTACGCGCTGCGGGCTTTCCCTTTATTTTGTTCTTTCATTTCGTCCTTTAGTCTGTTGCAGTATCTCGAGTATCGATTAATCATCTTCAGCAGCGCGCGTTCCTCTCGACGGCAGCTTCCGCTGTTTAATTAGACAAATAAATATCTAGAGCCTCTGCGCGAAACTCTTGAGAGCAAGCTCGATCAACGAACATGTCAATGTGTAATGACACTTTTAGCGCGAGAGAATTTAATTATGAGAGATAGAAACGAGCAATCGAAAATTAATTTCCTCCTCTGGAGGGGATTATGTAATCGAAGTTCCAGATATTCATGATGAGGTCGAATAAATCAAATGAAATTTCGGAAATGAGTAAGTTGTAACGAAATCATAGGAAAAGGAGGTTGCGGAGATGGAAAAAGCAGTAATTAATTTCAGCGCGAGTAGGGGAATCTAATGAAATTGGCGTCGGACAAAGAAGCATCTATTTCGAAATATAACGAAGGGTAGTAGTAGCGTGTCTGGCACTTGTCATCGTACTATGTATTCCACGACTCACCCTACTTCTCTCTCTCTCTCTCTCTCTCTCAGTCATTCGAGTCTGCATAAGCGCAAACCTGTGCTCACTCACCCTTTCGATGTATCGCGCGTGTTTGCCGTTCGCATTATGTCCGCGCGCACACGTTTAATGCAACGCTCGCTTGCGTCTGGTCTCTTTTATGTGCGCGTGTGTGCGCGCGTGTACGCGGGCGACGCAGTGGCTTGTCACTGGCATGTAACCGACATTATTGGATTACTATACGCTACACTATAATATACGCGCGCGTCCAGTGTATAAGCAGCTGAAAGGGAGAGAAATAAACAGACGATCGGCGTACGGACAGGTGAATCATGCGAAAAGAGAGAGAGAATGTAGTGACAAAGGGACCCATCACACTGATTAAAATCAAAATCACGACGGTTTTCGCACGCAGCTTTCAAGCTCCCTTTTACTTTTTCCCAATTAATTCGAATATTGACGCGACGTTAACGCACATCGTTAAAATTAAATTTAATGCGGATACTTCAATTCAGCTGTGGAATATTTTATGCCCGCGCAAAGAATAATGTATCGACGTGGCTACGCGTTCTCTCTCTCTCTCTCTCTCTCTCACTCTCTCTCTCTCTTCGGTGATTAATTTTCGCCTCGGTGCCGGAAGCCAAAATTCGCGGAATATCGCGCCGCGCGCTCAAAGAATAATTACGTAACAATTTTTAAATGCGGCCGCGTTCAAAGTGAAAGCCTATGTGATTAAGTGCTCGTTGGCACTCACCGCGAAATTTCCCATGGAAAAGCGAGATAAATTAAGGGCCTCGTCAAAGCAAATAGAAAACACAGCGAGGCGAAGCAAATTTAGCGAAAAACAGAGGCAAAGAAAGACGAGGGGTTCGCACTTGTATCGGGGCTGGGGCAAATGGAGACACGACGGACGCGCGGCTTGTAGCAAAAGAAGCGCGCGCGAATGAAAACGCTCCTACGCTTACATGTCTATCAGTGCGAAGCACGGACGGACGAAAAAAAGAGAGAGCGAGGGAAAAAGCAGCTGGGGGTAGCTTGTGCTCGGCGCTGTAATTTATCGTCGTCCGATTGAGGGAGAGTCAGCCAACGATGCGTTTACCTTCACGCAACGCCGAGCTTGCGAGAGAGAGAGAGAGAGAGAGACCGAGTGCAAGGGAGAGGAATCGCTTTTGTTTTTTGGCTTTTTGTCTGGCTCCTCTCTGCGGCTGCGATTTTAATCGGCGATCATTGTATTTTGGATACGCGCCTCGAGCCCGTTGCCTTTATTGCTCGCACTCGCTCGCTCGCTCTCTTTGCCGCGGCGCGCCGAACGCCACACCAAGTTGACTCGGGCGTATCGTTATGCCAGTCATTCTTGCGCTGCACCTAGTCCACCGCGCGATTATTTTATCGGTATTCTCGGGACGATTGCGCTAAATGCAAAGCAGATTAGCTTCTCACCGTTCGTTTGCTCGTTCGCTCGCTCGCTCGCTTTTTCCTTTGATTCGGCCTTTACGGCAAAATATTTTCGCCAATTTGGTCGCTTACTCGTTAGATTTGCTCGAGATAAATCAAAGAGATTTCGCGCTTTTCACGAAAAACAATTGAAAAAATAAACGAAGTAGCATATTTTTCTCGCGAGGTTCAATTCGATGTCCATAATGATTTTAATTCCCACAACTGAACCGAGAGTCGTTAACTGCCGAATAATTGATCGATCAGCACTGAAATTCTAATTATGGACGGACTAGCGCTAGCCAGTTTGATATAATCGTCTGGGAAAGGAACGAGCGCATGAAAAATGGCAAGCCACGCGCGCGTTAGACTAAAATCGCGGGGCATTTCCAATGGCACGGCGATAAACCAGCGTGCGCGGACGGGAAATTGGTCGGGGGCCCGCGCGGGTATAGCCGAGTAAATAGTTAACGATTGAACGAGGCATCGGACATTGCAGCGAAATAATAAATCGCGCGCTCGCGCGAGAGCAGCGCCAAGCCGTAGGCCTGCGCAACGCTCGGCAGGCCGGCCGCGAATCGATCGATCGCGCGAGCGTCGAAGGGCTCGGCGACGAGCCGACGCGCGTCCCGAAAGACGACTGTCTTGCGAGGGGGAAACCAGGCGCACCTGAGGTTGCCGGCGGCGTAGAGCACGCGAGCGGGCAGCTCGACGAGGTCGCGGTTGCCGTCCATGGAGAAGCGCTCGAGGTTGACGTTGTCGGCGAAGGCCCGCGCCTCCACCCGGCTGACCGAGCACTCGTTGAGCTCGAGGCTGCGCAGCTCGAAGAGGTTGCGGAAGGCCAGGCTGGGCAGCTCGCCCAGCGGGTTGCGGCTGAGCACCAGGCTGGTGAGGACCGCGAGCTTGGCGAGGGCGCCGCTGGGCACCGAGGTGACGTTGTTGCCGCCGAGGTCGAGGTGCAGCAGCCCGGGCACGCGCTCGAAGGCGTCGTCGGAGATGCTCCTGAGCACGTTGTTGGCCAGGCTGAGGTACGCGAGGGCAGGCAGCGAGGACAGCGAGTCCCGGCCGAGCTCCTGGATCAGGTTGTCGGAAAGGTCGAGGCGCTCGAGGCTCGGCGCCAGCGCGAGGTTCGACGAAGGCACCTCCAGCAGCGAGTTGCGCGTCAGCACCAGGTGCCGTATCCTGTGCAGATTCCGCAGCAGGCCCGCGGGCAAGCTGGTGATGGAGTTGCCGCTGAGGTTGAGCTGCTCGAGGTCGCTCGTGTAGCGGAACGCCTCTTCGTTGATGTCGCTGATGTTGTTGTTGGACAGGTCGAGGCTCTTGAGCACGCTCAGCCCGTGCAGCGCGTTCTTGGTCAGGCTGTGGATGGAGTTGGTGCTGAGGTTCAGGCTGACGAGGCTGTGCTGCTGGCGGAAGTTGTTGGAGCCGAGGGTGTGCACGAGGTTGGAGCTGAGGTTGAGCGACTCGAGGTTGCCGTAGAAGTCGAAGGCCATGTGCAGGCCGGAGATCCGGTTGCCCGACAGGTCCAGGTGCCGGACGTCCGGGTTCAGCTGGATGGGCACGATGTCGAGGCCGCCGTAGGCGCAGCTGCTGCGCAGCGAGTCGTCGTCGCAGCGGCACCGGGCTGGGCAGAGGCCCGCGCTGGCCGCCTGCACCGTCAGCAGCGCACCCAGAACCGCCGATATCGACAGTCGACCGGCCGACCGCTGCGACCGTCGCCCACGCCAGCACCTTCCTGACGATGGCTCAACGCCGCTGCCCGCGCGACCTGCCATTCCATATGAGCCGAGCCGCAGCTTTCTCGTACTACCCTGCAACAATAATGCGCACCTTCGTTACGTCCATCCGTTGCCATTGCCCGGCAACGCGCGCGTTCCCGTCCACGTTCTCCAAGACAATTGACCGTCGCTGCGAGCGATACTTGAGCATCGTTCGTCACGACGCTGCTATCGCAAGCTTCTGCGACAATGGCTTCGTGAGTTTGCTAATTATTTAATCGCCGACAATCGACTGCTGATGAAGAATGTTCGGCAAATTTATTCCACTGTCGTGCGCCATGAAAACAAGCGAAATCGTAAATTGTTGAGAGATAAAGAGCGAGGCTAACTGCAATATATCCGGCAATTCGCCAGGTAAATGCCGCGCAAATATTTCCTCTCTACTTGCTCTAAGTCTCTCCTTATCTCTTTTGTTATTATATGAAACGTTATTAATACGCTTGAATGCGCTTTTGATGCATAGCCATTTAAATTACTCACGAAATCGGGCGCTCGATCGAATACACTTCAAAGCGCGCGCTCGAGAAAGCTTATAAAGTGAAAATACCGGCAGACTGGGGAATTTATTGCACTCGGCCGACATAAATCATATCGCGCTGCGCTGCTCGGCGTAGCGGCGAAAAATTTTTCAATAGTCCATCGCTTAGAGCCGTCGATGTGTGCTAAAATGAGGGACTAACGCGCGAATAATCCACCGATAAAACTGCGGCTGCGACCGAGTGCAATCGCTCGCGCAGCCCGCAGACGTTACGAAATTAGAGCATCCGACTGCGCGGCGCCGAAATGTCATTCGCGCAATATTCAAAGCGCATTATCTGCGAAACGCGCGTAGAGCAGGGGTAGGGGGGAAGCCGCGAGTCGATAAAGTCAGAAGCGTGGGCGCGAGCGAGGCAAGCCGCCGTTGTTGCGCCGAAGCTTAAAGGGTGGGCCGCCGCCGAGCAAACGCTCCTAATTCCTCGGTAATGAAACAGTGAAATCTAATTAAGGGCGCAAGCACCATCAGCAGATAATTATATTCATAAAGAGGCGAGTCACCGCGGGCCGGCACTAGCAGAAGCAGTAGTGCAAAGTTTGCAGCAGCCAAGCGCGCGAGATAAAGCAAGCATCTCCCCCCCCCCCCATCTACCTCTCACTGTCGTCGGACAATGGCTTTCACCGCTCTCCATTGCGCTGCGTATATTTGTCGCGGCCGCGGCGCGACAGTTCAACTTTCGAGTCGGCTCCCGCCAGCCGCGATTTTCCGGCAAACTCGAACTGCCGGCCGTCCCCGCTGTGCTGTCCGCCGCAGCGAGCGCGAGCGCTGTGTATTCAGGTCGCGTATACGCACACGCCAAAACTTTCGACCCTCATTCGGTGCCGGGCGTGCGGCTACGGCCAAAGCGGCTCTCACATTCGTGCCGCGCGCAACCCTTTATCGGCGATATATTAATTTGACCCTCTCGTAACTGAACTCTGGCTTCTTCTTGTTCTTCTGGTGCCACGTGTGCGCCGCGCGGGCGGCCTGCTGTGGCCTTTCCAAACGCGCGCTTACGACACTTTGCCCCTTCGCGCGCGCATCAACATCCGACCGATCTTCCTCCACGCCAGCGCTTACTTTTTTTTAATTAAAAGACTGCACGTCCGAGGGAGCGGAGGACAACGAACATCGGACGCGCTGCGTAGAATTTTATCTCCGTGCGATCTCGTGCTCGGAGAAAAAACAGTCGTAATCCACAAATACGCGGACATTAGTTGTTGCTGACATAGCGCTAATCCTACGCCAACAGTTGGCTGCGAGTAATGTCCGACGTTAACGACAATAAAACACGATAAATTAGCATTAGAGGCTTGCTCAAAATAAAGGAAAAACATAAGCAGCCGGTGATCCGTCAGGCTAATAAAGCGGATAAAAATCGCGCATTCGGAGTCTCTACGGCCGGCTACTAATATTTTTTTTCTCCTTCCTTTCGTCCGTGGTAAAGCCTCTTGTACCTTTGGAGCGAGCGCCATTTGTATGTATGAGTGTACGCGTTCTTATTGTATAAGGGAACTCGCGTCTCTCGCTGTTCACCCTCGGCCGATCAATCTCGGGCATATTCATCGTCGCTCTCTTGGTAGTTGTATACACGCATGAATTTCAGCTCTCTCTCTCTCTCTCTGCTATCTCAAACGACCATACGACAATGCGCTTTCGAAAGGGAGAAAGAGAGAACCGCCGGCTGACCGACTCGGCTTAACGCCCCGTTATTGTTCGGATCGCCACTCGACGGAGCTTTGCACTGCTGCTGCCAACTCCCACGCCAGCTGTAATAAGCTTCTCTCGGTTCCCGCCGCCGTTTCTTAGTACGTAGGCAGTTGTTGCGAAGGTGCCGCGGCGCTGTACGGCTAATTGAAGTTGCCCGAGCACCCGCGCGAGCTAAGAAAAACAGGGGTGAGATTGATCGATTGATTTTCTTGCCACTTGCCTCGTCTGGCCGCCTTTCACGCGCGCGCTTACGTCGGCGTTATTTCTTCTCGCGACGGGCCAAATGCGACAAGCGAGAGCCAACCCATCGCGCGGCGACGCTCGGTTTTTCTTTCTCTGGCTAATTCGCTAAGCAAGCTGGACAAGTATAACAGTGCCCGCGCGAAAATACGGCCAGATCAAACGACTATTGTACTTGTTTGCATACGTAATGCCCGAAAATTGGCCAACGGGAATTTTTGATATTTCCCATGCGGCGGCGAATTTATTTTGTAAACAAGATCATCTCTCACTGGAATTTTATTGGCATAGTATAAGCCAGAGCAAACAGAAAGAAGGAATATTAACTAGACGATGAAAATATTATTGCTGATTGAGGCCTCTGTTTATCCGGCTCTCGGCTGAATAATAAGACGTTTTTCCAAGTCCTCCACTCTGGCCGTCCGCTCGTTGGAATTTCATACATACACGAAGGCCTCTTGATCCTAAGATAACTCGCGGACTCTCCTCCCCCATTGACCAAATCATCCGAGAGAGCTGCTATTTATACGCGGAAGTTTAATGCTTTCTCTATGTAAATACGGAAGCTCTGTAATAATCAAGCCAAATCGCGCGTCACGTATAGCTGGATTTAACCCTGCTCCAGTGAATATTCAACTTAATCAAGCAAATGCAATCCCTAGCGGTAAGGCCGATCATCTCTGAGCTCGCGGAAAATTAAAGGAGCAAGAGAGAGCGAGAGAGAGGGAGATCGAAAGCAAAACAAGGCAATGGAAGCGAGAAAGTCCCAAGCGAAGACTACTGCAGGAAAAATAAGCACAAAGCCCCGCCGGGAGAATAAAGCGATCGAGGGTGGAGAGCGGCCAACACAAGTGGAGTCTCTCCCTCTCTCTCTCTCTCTCTCTCTCTCTCTGGCGAGGGCGCTGAAATGGAGGGCCAGGCATGCTGCCGCTCAATGGAGAGTTAATTAACTGGTTAGAGAAAGACAGAGACGCTTGTCGATCGACGTCGGGCAAAAGTTCCATGTTAGTAGGCAATCGATGAGCTTGTACTTTCGATCGGCTGCTGATCTAATAAACAATCGCAACTGATTCTCGAGCGAGGAACCGCGGGGTTCCACGCCCACCGCCGTGGCTTCCTCCTTATATGCCGGGTCGCCCGCTAAATCCCAAGAAATAATATTGGCAAGTTCGCGATCGCACTTGCGCAGCCTCTCGCCCGCGACTCGCTTTAACTTGCGACTCTCCGCGCAAACTCAAGCCCACATTCCCGCGAAATGAGCAGCTTATTTCTAGTCGATAATACGCGAGAGAAACGTCCAATGGAATCGATACTCCAGTCCTCGAGATTAATGCGATCCAAGCTAAATTGAATTGGAATGGAGGAAAAAGAAAGTCGGCCAGACGAGGAGATGGAAGAATAATGTTTTTAATAACTCTGACCAAACGACGTATATTAAACCGCAAGAGACCGCAGATTCCGCTGAAAAATCAAGCGATTTCTGTCGAATCGATATATAGCAGCTTTTAATCTCGTTAATTTTTTCCCTTCTGACAGTAAAAGAGAGAGAGAGAGAGAGAGAGAGAGAGAGAGAGAGAGAGAGAGAGAGAGAGAGAGAGAGCGAAAGGGGGGCGAAAGAATTAATAACGACGAGCTAGATGAAAATCATAACTTTGACATCTCTCTCGTGTCGACGTAGTGCTGCGGCGTCCCGCAGGACATTACTACGGAATGTAAGTAATAACGGCATTACTTCGCGTAATGCCAAGTGTCTCTCTTTCTCTCATCGGCACAACGAGGGAGGATGGCTTTTGAAATGCGACGACAATGCTCCGCAGCTGCAGAAAGAGAAGAAAGGAAACGAGCGCGGGAAAGGAGGTAAGAAATTATTATTTAAGATGATCAGACGACGACGAAAATGAGAAAGTAAGGATTTTAAAAGAACGCTCGGGAGACAATAAAAGCCGGAGGACCATCATTTCCATGGCAATCAAAGGGGGCAAAGTAAAAAAAAGAGCTGGTAAAATTACCCACGGAAAGCGCTTCCTCCAACCTGCGCGCTTTTCTTTTTTTTTTGTACGAAATGTGTTTTAATTGTTACGAAAGAATAAGTTTTTCAAAAAGAAGAAAAGAGAGAGATAGGGCTTTTTAATAAAGGTGCTGCAGCTGCGTTTGCGAAAAGGAGAGAGTCGAGGAATATTTTAATTTGAAAAAAGACGCGGCGTGATGAAGGTAATTGTGTGAGGCGCAGCAGCAACGTAAAGTAGCCATTCCGATTTTGAACGCGAGAATTGTAGCAGCTGGAAATATTGTTGCAAAAACAGACGGCCAAATAAAGGACGAAAAAAACTCGCGTTAAAAAGACCAAAAGCTTACATACACACGCGCTTGTACAAGAAGAAAGGCGTTATACGCAAAGGCCTCTCAAATGAAAGCTTCAGAGAAGAGCACGGGCAACGCCTAAAATTAGCGAGACGCAATAAAAGGATGAGAGTATAACGCTTGCAGGCAAAAAAAAAGAGTAGCCGAGCAAAGACGTCTCTCAGAGTGAAATTGAGAAACGGATTTACGGGGGGGCCGCGGGGAACAA